ATGCGGGTGCTTAGGCCTCGGCCGGGGCTGCTGTCCAGCTCCAGCAGCTCAGCTAAGCCTCTGGGACCGGCTGTACGGCCTGTGGAATTGGAAGTACCACCGTCTGGCTCCTTCCAGACCCCTGCCCTGGACCACCGGCCCCAGCTGTGCTGGGTGGCCAAGCCCCCGCCCCATCCAGCAGCCTGCAGCAGGCTCACGGTCCCAGAGTTCCCTGCCCTTCAGCCTTCCCCCCTCCACCTGGAGCAAAGCTCTCACTCCCTGCTGCTCCCAAGTTCATGGGCGGAGGACAGTGAAGCCTTTTATTTTTGCTGGCAAGTGGTACACCTATGTCCAATGAATTGGGAAAGAAATTCAGACTGAAGTGTGAGTGTCTAATAGGCCTGCCCTTGTTCTTTCACCCCTGTGAGCTGGACTGGTATTTCTTATGGAATTTGCTCTCTGAACATATCATCTTTTAGGGGGCTTCACCAATCCTCCCTTGTAGACTAGGACTCGATGACCCGGAACCAACTTTTCATTCATTCTTCGTCTGTGAAACATTTAAGGGGACAACATGCGTATGGAGAGCAATTCACCTCCTCTGCAAAAACAAAACTCAAAGAAGTTGCTAGTAAATGCAAATCCAACTTCCCCGGCCTCAAAGTTTGCTGTTTCCAAAATCCCTTGAGCGAAAGGCTGCCGAACGCGGACGTTGGTGGTTTGTGCTTGGCTCACGCGGCGGAAACGTGCTACCCGCACAGTTTTAAAATCCCAGGCAAGTTTGGTCATCTTTCTACACTCCAAGTGTTTGCAGCACAAATGACAGGTTGCTCTTTTGCCAGATCCCTAAATTAGCAAACTGATGAAATCACACTGTTCAAAGGGGCTCCTTTAGCTGCGGCAATTACAGTGCACCTGAAAACACCGCCCCATGGAGAGCGAAGGCGAAGGCTCGTGGGACAGGGTTGCCTGGGGCAACGGGGCCACCGCTTCTCTCACACCTCTCAGGTTGCTAGGAGGCTTGGAAGTGAGCAACGCCAGAGAAGGTCCCCAGCCTTGGCACCCCCGCCCCACCCAGCGTGTCCCCTTTCTGCTCCCAAAGGGCTGATGACTCTGTTTAGGTTTTTGAAAGATACCCCTTCTTTTTTGTTATATGAAAGGGGAGAGGAAGCGCGCTGCTGGTGAAAGTCTCCTTAGGCGCTTAGCGACCCGCTGCGGCGTTTTAAGAGACAAGTCGGTGAGGATGGGAGCTGGTAAGGAGAAGGCCTCTGTTATTCTGGCGAGGCATGTCCTCTGTTTACTTTCTTTCCCCCGAGACTTTTTGGAGGTTTAACCAGCAGGCGGTGAAATGCTCCCTCGTCATTGCACAGGGCCGGGACATGCACCCAGGGGTGCACCTGTGAGCCCGCCATCGCGACCACGACCGCAACCTGGAATGCCCGCACCGCCCACAGCAGCCTCTCCCCGCCGAGGGCGACCGCTCTCAACATAGAGAAGAGGCTGCCTGTACTTGAGCTTCGAAGAAGTGAATTCACTGTGTGTCGTCTGAAGTCGTTTGTTTCGCACACCATGGTTTTGAGATACATCTGTGTTCTTGTTCTTTTTTTATTTTTTATTTTAGAGATGAGAAGGGATGAAGAAAGAAGAGAAAAACATCGACTGCTTACCTCCTGTACGTGCCCCGACCGGGGACCGAACCCACAGCCCAGGCATGTGCCCTGACTGGGAATCGAACCAGCGGGCTTTCAGTTTGTGGGACGACACCCAACCCACTGAGCCACAGCAGCTGGGGCTGTGTGCTCCTTCTTTTGGATTGCTCAGTCGTATTCCGCTGTAGGACTACACCAGTTGTTCATCCATTCTCCTGTCTCGTTATGTGTAAAGCGGTTTGTTTGGTTTGCCTCAGCTGAAGTGCTTGGGCAAATCACACCCTTGCATTGCCCAGTGCCTGTCCATTCATGGGAAGGTGGCCAGAGCGAGTGACTGAGGTCCACCGAGGTCCCACAGGGTGGGGCCCAGCATGTGCTCATGAAGCTTGTTCCTTGTCCCTAATTAAGCTGCAAAGAAAGGGGCCTCTCTGAAAGCCACAGTTCAAAACCAAAGCAACTGGTTTTCTTTAAGAGGGGCCGCTGCATGTAACCTGATTTTCATAATTATTCTCCAAGTGTAGACTGTGGCATGAACTAGGCACGCGTAGCAGGCTAAGCAGTGGAACGCTGAGCTGACGGGGACTAACGTCATGTCTCTGCTTCTGGTTAAGATTCTTTTTCTAAGTTTTATTTTTTTATAAAGATTTATTTATTTTCAGAGAGCGGAAGGGAGGAAGAGAGGGAGAGAAACACTGTTTGGTTGCCTCACATCGGGAACCTGGCCCGCAACCCAGGCCTGTGCCCTCACTGGGAATTGAACTGGCGACCCTTTGACTTGGGGGATGACATGCGACACACTGAGCTACACCGGCCAGGGAAAATGATTTTCTTCTCTTTTTTTAATTAAAAACCAGCACTTTCCAAACTTCAAGTGCATATTTGTTTACTGCTCTGAAAAGCAATTTTGAAAGTTGCTTTGTTAGAAGACAGCTCCGGAGAGAATACCCGTATGTTCCCCGGGGGCCAGGTCAGGAAGGAGGGGAAGTTGCGGGGGGGGGGGGGGGGGGGGTTTAGATCATTTGTTACTCCTTCCTCTCACCCTGAAAAAAATACAAACTAATCCATTCTTGATTCTCCTCTGCAGCCCACAGGAGACAAAACAAATCCGTTACAATATTTTTTTAAAAAAACCTTCCCAGCTGCATTTAACAAGAATCCATCCAGTTCTCCAGCCCACGAGGTGCAGGCAGAGGGAGTGGAAGACAGCTGAGCGCTTAGTAGGAGGCCGAGGCGAGGTTTCGCCGAGTGGGCACCACGTTCACTTGTCTCAGAGCGAGTGGCCTTGCGCGAATTTCTTACTAACAAGGACCACTCTCGCATTCACAGTATGATCATGCTTTTTATACCAATGATGTCTACAAAATTCCAGGAACTCTACCATCATGTGGGCCCAGGTCAGTTCCTCTTTCAAGGAAGAATCTCTAGTTTGTAGCGAGTAGACCCGCTGGAAATAGGTGGGTCACGGTCAGGGCGTGGGCGTGACCTGCGGAGAGATTCTCCCGCGGCGCCCGAACCCTCCTGCAGCGCTCAAATGCGCGCTTACCCTGTGCACTCCGTGAACTCTGTGCGGAAGCCCGGGAGCGCGACGCACCGGGGAAACATTCCGTCGCTCACTTCCGGGGCCCTCACCGCGGCCCCCACTGGCACTTCGGCTTCCTGGTCCTCGGGCGGGGGGCGGGGCTGCTCTCCTGCCCACTGTCCTGGCCACAGGCTCTCCACGTGCGGTCTGTGTGTGCCCAGGGAAGGGAGGGGTGTCTGTGGGCCACTGACACACCAGGCGACACCTTGTATGTGCATTTTTCCAGCGCAGAGCCCGCCCCAGCCGACCCTGTCCCTCCAGCATTCGGACTACAGGCTGTCCCTGCCCCGTGCCACGGCCCCCTGCTCAGCCCGGGCAGCTCTGCCCTGGCCCGCTGGCGCCGCGTCCGAATCCGTCTCTGGCTGGGGCTTGGCCTCCGCGGCCCTTTGCAGTGATCCGATGTGTGGGGCCTGGGCTCACAGGCTTCCAGGGCCTCCGGGTCCCCCCACCCCACCAGCCCTTGCTATCGTTCCCTCGCCGCCCTTCCCGGTCGGCACCAGGTGGCTTGCAGTTCCTGCCCTGCCCCTTCACAGCCCCCAGGTGCGAGGGCCTTGGCGTCCCAGTCTGCACTGGAGTTTTCTGAGTCTTCTCTTCCTTTACTGAAGGCAGGCAACAGGCTATTGTTCACCCTTGTCCCCGGTCAGATGTCCCTTCCCGACAGGCCTCCTGGCCCCCGCACCCTCTCTTCCTGCAGCTCCCTCCCCCCAACCTCACAGGGTCCCTCACAGTATGGCTCTTGCACCCGGGGTCACTGGGGACTCCCTCCCCTGATTACAAACTCCCGGAGGGCCGGCTCTCTCCCTGTGCTTTGGGCACCCGCAGCGGGAGGACAGGGCCTGGCGTCCGCTCGGCCACAGTCAGGGTTTGCTGAGCTGAAGGGAACTGAAGGAGTGACGCTCTGCTGTGAGCCGCCAGCACGCAGGGAGGCGTCCACCTCACCCACGGGAGCAGAGGTGGACGCTGCCGCCCTCCGCCGTCTGCCCTCCTCCCACAGCCCGCGTCTGTGGGCGAGGGACCCACCGGCTCCCGGGCCCGCTCCCCCAAGTCTGGGGCTCCCACCTGCAGGGCCTCCCAAATCTGCGCACCTGTCTCCTCAGCCGCCCTGGCCCGGGGGCTGGCCGCCCACCCCGGGCCTTGACTCCCGCGCCCACGGTCCACCCACCAGCCAGTCAGCTTCGGACGCAGAGGGGATCGTGCCAGCGCACATCCTGACGCCCTCCCTCAGCTTCCAGGGCCTCCCGGGCAGGCCTGCTCGCCCTCTTCTCCGCTCTCCCCTGCCCAGAGGCCCCACACGGGCCTGGCGCCTGGATACCTGCCCCCGGGCACTGCCAGCTGTTTCCTGGGGCAACACGTCACTATCTCAGAAAGAAAATCCCCGCTCCCCCAGGGCGGGGACAGTGTCCCCCCATTCCCCGTTCCTCCAGCCCGGGTCTGGTCCTGGGTAGAAGCTGAGCAGGTAAAATGCCTGTCTGCGTCAGGATTTGATGCACGAGGACCACGGCCGCGGCTGCCCCGCTGCCCACCGAGTCTCGGGGGCACCAGCAGGGCCTGCAAGCTCAGCGCTCAGACCCCGGGAGCAATAGGACGCGGGTGAGGCTCAGAGGTCTGTCCCAGCCACGGCCTGAAGAGCCGCGCCGCCCCTTCACTGCGCTGAGAGTGAGGGCGCAGCGTGGGAATAGCCCGCGGGTTGGGAGCGGTGACCACAGAGCCCGGGCCCGGCAGACCTCTAGCAGCGGGCGCTGCAGGCCGGGCCGGGGCGGGGCGGGGGCCGGCGCTGGGGCCGCGCCCTCCGGCCACTCCCCGGGGAGAGCGGGCAGCGGCGGGGCAGCGACCAGGAGGCTCCCCCACGCGCTGCGCCCGCCCCGGACGCTGGTGCCTCCGCGGCCCATGTCCTCCGTGTCGCTGCGCTCGTCGTCCCCACTCCGGCCCCCGAAGATGAAGAAGGAGGAGTCGTTCCTGGGCAAGCTGGGCGGTACGCTGGCGAGGAAGAAGAAGGCCCGGGAGGGTGAGTCCCGCCGCGGCCCTCCAGCTGCGCCTGCGCCCGCGCCCCGCCAGGATCGCGCGCCCCCGACTCCCGCCGGGACCCCGCGTCCCCGAGCACGCGCAGCCGCGACCTTTGGGACAGGCCTTGACCCTTGCTCCCCCCTCTCTCAGACATTTAAACACCACTCGAACCCGCCGCGAGCCAGGCTGCCCCCTCCCGCGGTGGCTCGTGGAGCCCACCTCCCCCCGCCCCGCGGCTCCTGCGTCACTGAAAACGCGGGGCCAGCTCCTGCTGCGGGCAGCCCCGGGAGCTCACGTCAGGCGAGCTCGGGGACGCGCGCGCCCAGCCCCGCGCCCAGCCCAGCTTAAGTCGCCATTTATTGAGCGCCGTTCCAGGGCGGCAGCGCCTGCCGGCCCGCTGCTGGCGGTCGGTGCTGTGAACCGCGTTCCACCAGCATCCGCTGGGCCCTTGCGCCGGCCGGGCGCGGGCTGGCCGGCCGGGGTTCCCGGGGCGGGCGCGCCTGCTGCCCCGGCCCGACACGTGTGTGTGTGCGCGCGCGCGCGCGGCGGCGCGGGAGGGTGAAGGCGGGGTGGGGAGGGAAGGGGCTCAGAGGGGACAGGCCAGAGGTCGCGCTGGCCCGCACCGCAGAGCACCGCCCCCCTCCCGCCAGGTTTTACCTCGTGGGCCCATGGAAAAGATTCTAAAAGACTATCTACCGCCTCATACACGTGTTTTTTAGAGTTACAAGGGGCGTCACCCCTAGCGCCTTGTGTGTGTGCTTTAAATACACTGCTGTCCCCAGGGCCTCTCCCAGGGCCGCATTCCTGAATTTTCCTTTTGTTGCAGCGGGAGACTCTCGGGGGACTCCCGCGGCTGGGGATGGGGCGGTGGCGCGGCGAGAAGGCTCGTGGGCGAGAGGCTACCCTGGGGCAGGCGCGGCGCCGGGGCCTCCTAGACAGTCGCAGGCGCCTCCGTCCCGGGCCTACCTCCTGGGACGCCTTTATCAAGTGAGATGATTCAGTTCCTGAAGGGCAGGGCCTTGTGCCCTCCAGCCTTCTCCTCTCTCAGGCGCTACCCTGAAAGGCCAGGGGCTTTTGTGGGTCTCTGGGAAACCACGCCTCCCGACAAGGGGGTTTTTAAGGGCCAGTCACTGGCTCTTCGTCATTCCTGCAGCTTCCCCCCACCTGGTGTCCGCGCCGGCAGTCATTGCTGTGTGTTGCCCCCGCCCCCGCCCCCCCCAAACGTTTCAATTCCTCTTTCCGCCTGACAGCAATTACAGACATAAATGGCGCTGCCTGTCCAGTGCCTGCTGGGGACCCCAGAAAGTGAAGCCAGACGAGGCTCCTGCCCCCTGGAACCGGGAGTCAGGGGTCCTAGACAGACCAACCGCGCTACCACCAGGTTCCGGGAAGAAAGGGTAACCAGCCCAGGCTGGTGGGGCTCAGTGCACCACACTGGCCTGCGAACCACAGGGGCGCTGGTTTGATGCCCACTCAGGGCACGGGCCTGGGTTGCGGGCCAGGTCCCTGGTTGGCTGGGGGCGTGTGAGGCAGCCAACTAATGTGTCTCTCGCACATCGATGCTTCTCTCCCTCTCTTTCTCTCTCCCTTCCCCTCTCTCTGAAAATAAATAAATAAAATATTTAAAAAGAAAGGACACAGACAGTGCCCGGGAAAGGCCTCAGCACAGGCGGTGTTTGGGTCGAGGCCAGAAGGAACCAGGAAAGACATCTTTCGCAGAATAGCAAGTGGGCAGAATGTTCTGGATTATTACCGCTTTTTATAGGTGACATTTGCGCTCTTGGAATGCGAAGAACGCACGCCTGAAGCTGTGGACTGCTCCCAAGTCCCAAAGCCAAGTGCTTTTTGTCCTTGCTCTAGTGAACCCTCGTGAGCCTGGAGAGCTGAGGGCCAGCTTGGTTTCGTGTCGAGGCACCGAGAACCCCGGAGCCGCAGCGCCCAGGGGTGGGGGGCGCAGGGCCCACGCAAGCACAGCGGAGGGAGCTGCTGCTGCTGCCGCCGCCTGTGAGGCTGCTGGATCCCCTGCCTCGGTTCTCAAGGTTGGGGGGCCAGGCACCCTTGGGGACCCCCACAGAAACCCAAGGCCGCAAGCTGTAACTGGGCTCCGACGCCGCCGCACTTGGGGGCGGGCTCGACTGGGGAGGGCCTGGCGGCTTCTGTCTGATCCTCTGGGAAGGAGGGAGGCGTCCTCGGCAGAGGTGAGGTGTGAGGACGAGGGGACGGGGTCCCGGCCCCTCGGCCTCCCTGACATTCACGTGGCTCAGGAGCTGGCGCGGGTCCTGGCCCAGCTTTGGGTCCCTGGGGATGGCGCTGACCTGCCCCCGACAGGATGATCGGGAAGAGGGGCTTCGGGGGTTGCCAGATGCCGCTGGGCTGCAGGGTGGGGTTCGTTTCCTTCTTTGTTAGAAAGTTGACAGCGAGTTCAGGAGCGGGAGGGGGGGCAGCGGAGGGGAGGCCCCTGTGGGGGGCGGCGGGCCTGCCCAGGAGGTAGAGATGCGGGAGCCCAGAGTGTTGGACCCGCCCAGGCTGGCAGGGCTTTGACAGGGCCACCTGCCCTCTCCCACGGCGTCCGCTCTAGGAGAGGTTGGGGAACTGGCGCTGGAAGCGTCCGTGGATGAGTTCACGGGGTGATTAAGGCCCACGTTCTAGGGAGGGCCCAGTTCTGTCATGTGGCGTCCCAGCTCAGAAAACAGAACTACGACTGACTGGGGGCATCGGGAACAGTGGCAAGGGACACTTAAAAAAGGAAAAAAAAAAAAAAAGCCCACAGCTCCCCCTAGAAGGCCCCGGGGACTTTCAGGAGCCACTTATTAATAGCTGGGCTGGTATCACAGGGGCTGGCAGGAGCCTCCCCGCACGAGGGCCCCCTCGTGGCCGCAGAGGAGAGGCCTCTAGGAGCCTCTGCCCGGGGCGGGGGGCGCCCCACAGATGCCCCAGCGGCCCAGTAAAATCCTTTGAGGGGCCAGGCCAGCTCGGAGGCCAGCGAAGCCCGGGGGGAGGGGGCCAGATAAAATCCGCTCCACGCAGATGCCCCGAGAGGCCCCCGGCCCCCGGGCCCCGCTGCTCAGCCCGCACCCCAGGGACCGGCACGGGGCTGCTCCGAGCCGAAGCCACCAGAAACACACGGCGGTTCTGTCCCTCCTTTTCTGTGAGGGGGGGAAACATTAAGGGAATAGCCCCTGGTTGCCTTTCTTTGTTCTTTGTTTGTAAATAAATGTTTTAGAGCAGTTTCAGGTCCCCGTGATGCGCGGTGCCTTTTCCTGTGCTGTGCGCCCTCCGTGTACCTTCTTTGGTGCAACGGCTGTTCAGATCCTGGGCTCAGTTCCTCACTGAGTTGTTTGATTTCTTGCTGTGGGATTGTAAGAGTTCCTGGTGTATTTTGGACACACCTCCTTCACCGGATAAGCCTTCTGCAGGTATTTTCTCTGGGTCTGCGGCTTGTCCTCTGGGTCTCTTGAGCCCTGACCGTCTCCTGAGCATGGGATGCAGAAATGGTTAATAAATGAGCAGGATGTGGGTGGAGGCTACGGCAGCGAGATCCAGTGAAATCTCTAGGTGGCCGCGACCTTGCGCTCCAGGTTGGATGCGTTAAGTTCCCTTTGTGGACTTCAAGTGGCTTCCAAGAGAGAACCTCCATGTCCTAAACCACTGCCCGTTCACCTGGTGGTTCCCTTCGGATCACCCCGTCTTTCTAGTGCGATGAGCTGCGTAGACGCCGTGTCGCCCCAAATGGCAGCCCGCCGTCGCGCCGCCCTGGGGTGCGCCGTGTGAGCTGGCCCTGCACAGCTTTCACCTGCCCGCGAAGTACCTGCCAGGTGGGAATGTTCCCTCGCCTTCTAGCCGAGGAAACACAACCTTACTCAGCAGCCCCGCTGTGGTAGCTTAAACCAACTGGGGGTGATTCTGCCCCAGGGGACACTGGCAGTGTCTGGGGACACTTTGGGCGGTCCCACCTGGGGCCGGGGTGCTCCTGGCCCTTAGGGCGTGGAGGCCGGGGTGCTGGGAGACACGCTGCGGTGCACGGGCCAGCCTCATACAGCAGGGGGTTACCCAGCCCCAAACCAAACGCTGGGGGCGGGGAGCTCAGGGGACGGACCCTGGCCTTTGTTCCCTGAGGTGTCTCAATGGCGCCCAGAGCTGGGGGAGCAGCCTCCCCTCCCCGGCCCCCGTGCTGGGGCAGCGCCTCAGGGCCCTGCCCACAGGAATCCGAGGTGACCCCAGTGCCCTGCTGTGGGCCCAGCCCCCGGCGTCTGGGCTCTCCACTTCCTTCCTTCCTTTCTTCCTTTCTTCCTTTCTTTCTCTCTCTCTCTTTCTTTCTTAAAGATTTTATTTATTTTTATTTTTAGAGAGAGGGGAAGGGAAGAAGAGAGAGAGAGAAACATCAATGTGTGGTTGCCTCTCGCGCGCCCCCTACCAAGAACCTGGCCTGCCACCCAGGCATGTGCTCTGACTGGGAGTCGAACCAGCGACCCTTTGGTTCGCAGGCCGGCGCGCAATCCACTGAGCCCCACACCCAGGGCTCAGCTGTTTCCTGAGGGAGAGAATCCCCATGGCCCACCCTGTCCTCCGTCCCAGGACAGCAGAGGGGTGGTGCCCAGGAGCTCAGAGGGCCTGTGAGCGCCTATGAGACCCTGGGGACAGGTCAAAGAATCTTTACCTGGTGCTCGCGTGGTGGGCTGGGAGCTGGTGGCGGGTGGTGACCCGGCCTGTCCCCAGGAGCCTGGGGGGAGGGGCAGGCCAGTGCGGTGACAGAGAGCCCCGGAGGGTGGAGGGCACACAGCCTGGACCTGGGGTTCTAGGTTCCGGCTGGAGGTTGCGGGGAGAGGAAGGCTCTCCTGCCAGTGGCCCAGGAGAGAGTCCCAGCTTGTTCCCTTTGGGGACGTGCAGTGGTTGGGCCGTGGCCAGCTGTGGTCAGCCACTGGTAAGCCGGGGCCGCCTGCGGGGGCCCTGTCGTCTCCGGCACGTGGGGTCTAAAATCAGATTGGATGAGGCATGCGTTCT